AGACTTCAGATAAAATTGAGGCCCTGAAAGCTTATTTTTGTTTGAATTCGTGGATTGGAAACTAGTGAATGAGCAGTTGTTATTTGCTCTGGCAAAAGATCTACAGCAAATAAATAGATCCAGATGGTGCAAATGCAGGAGGTGAAGTGCTGTCAATACTAACTCCGACATGGTGCACAACTCTATAGATCTAGGCAATGCATGCAGCACTGTCTATAATCATTTAGTTCTTTCTGTCCAACTGTGGGGGATCAGTTAAACTGTATATTAAATTTCCCCATACTCTTAATACTTTTCAGGTTAGATGTGGTTGAGTTAAATACAGTTCTCAAATATTAGGATTCTGGTAATTCAAGTGTAGCTGGTTGTGCAAGGATAATGATGTGTTCATTTCTCTCTAGTATATCAATCGAAACAGAATAGAAGGTGCTATTTCTAATTGTTATTTTCTGTTTCATGCATTGCGTAGTTGTGTAGTGAAAATACAATATAAAGCATCTAGGTACCTTCAATTAGTGGGTAACTTACCTTCACAAGTGTTGAAGGTAAATAAGAAATACAACTGTGAGTTATCCTCCTTCCTTATGTTGTACTTTATAAGTATTTTTTTTTTCTTTCTAATATGTGAATGCCCAGAGTCTCCCAATTTTCTTTGTATATGAGTTGGGATGGGAAGAAGCAAAAGTTTGACATGGAACTGATTTGTGATTTTTTGTCAAAACTTGTTTGTGTTGCTATACATTTCATGTTGGTCATATTGTTGGCATGCATGATCCATGAAATCAAACTAGTTATAGTTTGGTACATTGTATTTGTGATGTTAGTTTATAGTGTAATGAATATTTATAAACTCGCTTTCTGTTTCCTCTTCCCTTCTCTATTATTTAACTCTTCATTTCTAGTTCATTGCTCATATTCTTTTTCTTCTTTAACCCCAACACTTACACTGGTAGGTCACTTTTCCTCCTTTGGCGCTGTGTCGTGTATCGTTGATTGAAGTGTTTGTCCTTTCAAAAGTCGGACAAGTATTACATTTCCAGAGCGAATTTGGATTAGTCTGTGCCCAAAAGTGAATATTGGATAGCGCATAATTTTCTTTCTTTTCAGGTTTAAATAAAAGGGAAAACTTGTTTATGAGTAGGTCAGGAATTTTTATTTTTAACACACTGTGTATTGATTGCCTTGACACAACATTAACGCATACAGATCAGTCCAACTGTTCGAACCAAACCAAAATTCAAATCAACCCCAAAAAGACTTTGATTTGATGTTGAGTAAGAAAAAACCAAACTAAAACAATATATGAATATAAAGTTTTTAAAAACTTTTTTTTATGAATTTTAAAAGAATATGTCAAAAGCTATTTGTGATTCAATTTAACGTGAATAGTCCCTTTGTGACAATGTTATGTTAGTCAATCTATCTGTTCTTTAATATTTCATATTCCAAGATATTTTGTACTTTTATATTTCCTTCAAATTTGAGATGGTGTACAGATAATTTTTAAAATTAAACAAGATTTATCATTTTTTTATGTTTTATATACGTGTTTAACTATTAAAAATTGATCAAGTTTGAACAAATATATCATTGAAAAAATTATTGTTAGACTAACCAAATAACTATCATGTGCATAATAAATCATATGTTTGTCAATCATTACTAGACACACATTAATTTACCAAAATATTATCTTCAACGCCAACAAAATAAGATAGAAATAATACTCACGTGACCAAAAAAACGTCTAGTTGGTTTGTACACCCTTATCGATCAGCACAAGTCATCTTTTAGGATAGGTTGAGAGCTCATTTTAATGACTTGGTTGAAACTAGATGTCTGAACACTTCTACATGGCTTCTTTTTGGATAGCTGAAAAATCCTGGGCCAACTAGTGCACGGTTTGAAACTCTTGGTTATTGAGTCTGCCCCTCTAACCTTTTCTACTTAAATGACAGGCTCATTGGAACTCACTACGTGCACTTACCTCATACATCAAGCACTACACACTACACTAGACCGATGCCCTGGGGGCGGGCTTGAACAAAGAAATTCCTGCAATAATTAGATGTTATACCAGCAGAGAGGCACTTCTAACGACCCTCTACTTGTTATGAATCATAACATTTTCGATACTGTCTAATAGAGCTTTTTCCTTGGAAAAATTACAGCCAAAACACCAATCAGACATCTAGTGTACAAAATATGTGTATGCACAGTGTATACTTTATACTAAATATACATATACACATACATACATACACACACATACCTATACACTACATTTACAATCGAAGTGAATACTTCGGCCATGTTGGTAAACTAGACGGCTGGAGAGTACACTTAAGTAGGTTTTCCTTTTTTCTTTAATCCCAACAATATGGTCAGGGAAGGTAGAGCACAATAGTGCAACAACACTCCTGGAACTTTGGAAGAACCCTTCAAAGTGAACTGTAAATTTATCCAAAGATGCAAAAATACCTACTATACAAAATGTATAGCATCAAAATTGCAATTAACATGACTAATCTTCATCAAATACTGTCTAATAAAATGTGATAATCTAAACAAAGCAACGAAAATTGAACACCATTAACATGATTAACCAACAATTTTAACGACATAATCGATTTTCAATTGACCAGCCATAAAAAGAACTAGTTGCAGCATTTGACTTCATAATGTAATCACTTTATTAGCAGAACTATAATTTGCGTCAATTGAGAGATCATTTTTTATCACTAAACTGCAAGAGCATTTTTGATATTCAAACAATCAGTGTCTAAATCAAGAATAGTATGACAGAGAACAAAACACAGGAGATTTCAAGACAGAAAAAGAATCTCAACGGTCAGGGAGTAGAAGAAACTTGAGACAGAAGAGAAACCAGCAAGAAAAAAGAAAAAGAATGAGATGCCTTGAGAATATGAGTAATATACCCAAGAAAAGAAAGAACTATCTCGAAGAAAAAAGAAGAAAAGAAATCCAAACAAATCAAGAGAAGAAAACAACAAACTATACCTGGAGAGGACTAGGTGTATTCAAACTATACGAAAAACCTTAGTTTTCTCTGCTCCTTTTTCTCTTCTATGTTTCATCTTTCAATGTGAGATTCAGAGAAGCAACCACTTCTTTCCTCACGTGGATCACTTTGCACCTCATATCCAAACCAAGCTTCCCCAAAATACCATCATTTCACCCTTAAAGGGATATCACTTTGCATCACTTCTTCCCTTTAAGGGATGAGAAAATGCTTTTAATACTATAGAGCACTTAGAAAAATGGGCTTCAGTAAATCTTTTAACATAAATCACCGTCAGCCTTGGGAATTTCAATTTTACTATTAAGCACAATTCATATCAAATTGGTTTTCAAATGCAGTCCAGAGGTTGCTAACCATTTAATTTCTCAATGAGCAACTTAGCTGAGCTTAAATGAAATATCAACATAAAAATAAAATAAAAAAATGCTGGATACACCATCAATAGAAGATGCACTAGATTTTTCCATCTAGTCTCTACCAGTGTTATTAACTTAGCTTCATGTACAAAGCCATGCATTTCATAGAAATGTGCGCTTCAAAGTTCAGTTGATGACGTGCAAAGTGATCCCAACAAGCAACAAACAGTTCTTTGAATCTAAATTTTGTGGAGTGGATAAATATCAATATTGTTGTATATTGGATACTGAATTAGTTATGTTAGCTAGCTGTAAGTCTACATATTCTTTGAAGTGACCGAGAAACCTGTCTGGAGCTGACACTTTGGCCAAGCCTCTGAAACTCAGGGATGATATTCCTCCCCCCCCCCCCCCCCCTACCTAGTTGCAAGTCGACAATTATGGTATTAAATTCATACAATTTGGCATTTTTTATGTGCACTTCACTTCTTGTTTTTGCATTAAAGAGACAGAATATAGCAGCAGAAAACAACACCATAGTATCAAAAAAGTATCTAGTGAAGCTGTTATTCATAGGAAGGGGGTAAAGGGAGGGTAAGTACAAAGTACAAACTAATCAAAATCGGATAACCAAAAGTGGCTATGGAATACTTTCTAAGGAATATTATGTAAGGTAGAAAGTTTTATTCTGCCAGAAGAGGATTTTGACTACACGAAAGCAGTAAACATCTGAAGAAAATTCAAGTTTCAGCAAGGATACTTGACCTATTTAGCACAGTGAAGTTTCTCAAGAGAGTAAAATGGCCCTAGTCAATCCCATAAGTCAGGTGCTATCCAAAGCAGAATCATTCCAATATTTCGAGAATTAATAATGGATTTTCTTCAGAACAGAAGTCTAAAACTAAGTAATTAAACTGCTCCAAGTTCTGGAGAATAGCAGCACCTTCCAGCTTATCTAGAAGCTCGCTGAATGTATAGATCTAGTTATGAAATTTCAAGAGTCAATTTATTAATATGCACACACACAATGGTATGCCTTAGCCATGGATGAAGTTCGAATCAAAACTATTGAATACCAGTACAGGCAAAACAATTTAGATGATTTCTTCCCATCAGTCTAAGCACCTTGGTGGGCGGAGTTAGCCGATACCAGTACTACAGGGAGGATACGATATCTGATGGATTTATCAAGTTGTGTACAAGCTTGGACAGCTACTACTATACAACAAAAGAATAAAAATGAGAGCCAATTCATTGATCTACTAGGTTTTTGGCGGAATTTAAACAAACTCCATGTCCTTTCTTCACACAACCCTCTAAAAACTCCACTCCGAATCGAAAAATGAAAACAAAAAATCATGAAGATGACTACAACTTTCTACGGGAAGCAAAGACTCATTTGTGGATGGATTTTCATTTATGTAACACTCTTGTATAAAGACAAAAAGAAATATGACATAATCTCGGAACCCAAAATAGAAATGCATCAACCAAAAGTAATACTATCTAATGAGAGAGCAAGAATATAATTTTACGCATTCAAAGCAATAGTTGACAATATAATACAATACACTAACTGTAACATACTTGAAAATTCTAGATCAGGTCCAGCCATTGACTACTTTGGTACACCTTTCTTTAATCCAACGAAAACTCTTCTTTATGGATCCCTTAACCTTTCCTTCAACCGTGTAAACCTTATAACTAGCCACTCTCTTCTTCCTCTGCAACTCTGGATCATTGAAACTCCAGCTCTTAGAAACTGACCCATTACTTGACTTCCCTTTCTTAAACTTCACTTCCTTGGACAACTCCATCCGAGTGTTATTCGATGCATATGAAGCACTATAACATCGAAACCCACTTGGGTTTGAACTGGGTTCGCTGTAACCGTTACCAAAATCAGTAGAATAACTGTAGCTTTCGACTTGTCCTCTGGAATCGTTATATGACTTGCATCTCAAGTCATCCATTTTTGGATCTTCGAGTTTTTTGTGAATTTGGGGACTTTGATTTTGGTTCATGTAATTCACCTCTGGATTTTTCTCTTTTCCATTGTGTCGGTGGTCATAGGAGTAGCAGTGGGAGCTGGAATTGCATGTTATGTCTAAAGTGCTAACTGCAATTATTTAACATTTGTCACGTTTTGCCTAACCTAATTTGACCACCTAAATTATATTGGATTAATTTAAATATTCAAAACTTAAGTGAAAATATTATAGGTTATAATTTTTTAATCATATATTTATATAAAAGAGAACCCTAGCCCCACCTACGTGGTGCCACCTCAAATCAAAATTCCCTTTTAATCTATTTATTTTCAAAATTAGTCTTCCCCTTTCACGAAAAGTTGTGACTTTTATGAAGAGTAGCGATTTTTATGAAAAATTATGACTTTTATGAAAGGTTGTGACCTTTTCAAAAAATTGTAACTTTTCCAAAGAGTTGTGATATTTCCGATAAGGCACAATAAGGATTTGTTCACACTACTCTTTATTGTCTATAAATAGAGAAATTTCCTGCCACTATTATTTGTAGGTTTTTTTCCACTCTAGGATAGTCGAATTCAAATACATTAATTAAGCTTTTTATGAAGTTTGTTTCATTCCTCAAAGTTTTATTCCTCCTTTTTCATGGAGCTTAATCTTTACTATAAGTTATATTGATTCATGTAACTCTGACAATTTCTTTTTGCTATTTTGGTGATTTTTTTTTAACTCTGTTAAAAATTTCAGCAAGGATGATTGAAATTTGATCTTCTCTTTTGTCCCTTTCTACATGTTTCTTCATATAGACAAAGAAATTTGATTTCAATTACAAAGCGATATTACTACTCTTGCACCTCTCATAGGTCCACAACTCATAACGCTGCTGGAATGGTTGAATTCATTACATTTGGTTCTTTAGTAAACCAAACTTTTATTTCTACCACTATTATTTGTAGGTTTATTTTTGCTAAATGGGAGTTGAATTCAAATACATTAATTAAACTTCTTATGAAGTGTTTTTCATTCCTCAAAATTTTGTTCCGACTATTTCATGAAACTTAATCTTTTTCTGTAAGTCATACAACTATTGCAATAACTTTTTGTTATTTTGGTGACTATTTTTTTAACTCTGTTAAAAATTCAGTGATGATGTTTGAAAATTTATCTTCTCTTTTGTCCCTTTTTACAGGTTTCTTCATATACTTTTTGGGAAAATTGCTTGTGGGTTGTGCTATATTTTGTAGCACACAACTACAAATCTGTGATAACTAATACGGAATCAATGATGAAGTTTGTTAAAAGAACCAAAAGGATTGCTCTCTTGCTTGCCACAATTAGTATGTTATTTTGATTGTTTTTTCTTAGGTAGAAACATTTTATATGTCATTGCACTCTTCCTAGAATATTAGTATAGAAACAATTAGTACACTTCTTTTAACACAAGTTAACTAATTAGTCATATTTCTTCGTCTCTTCTTTTTGTGCATAATAAGAGATCAAGCTTTCTTCAACCTAACAAATGTCCAAAATACACTATAACAAAAATAGTTTTTATCGGCAGTAAATATGCACATTAACGAAGAGTGCTAGAGCCTTTATCGATATTAATTAATTTTCATTAGATTCAATGTTGCTATAGACTTTGGGGACATTTATAGAGAGTACCAATTACCTCTGAAAATACATATTTAGCCACAATTAAACTATTAATTTTCATTAAAGATCATTTTTGCTTTAGTGATAACTCTTTCTTTTGATAAAGTTTTTTGTTTTGTTGATAAAGAAGTAACTCTTTCTTTTGACTTCTTTCAATTAAATTTGTGAACTCTAAACTTGAATGCAACCTTTGAAAATATATGTTAAGCAACATGCCTTTTTCTTCTTGATTGTTAGGAAAGTAAGGTCGTCTTTATTATTATTTGTGGATATTTGTGAGTTCAAGTGCTCACAAAATCAGGCTCTGATATTTTAATATGTTATGTGTCAAAATTTTGGTTTAGCATATCCAGTTATGAACAGTTCCATTCAGATATCACCTACTACTTGGTTGATAATTGCATTAATTCTTTAACCATAACAATAAATATGGTTCAATTCAAAATAAGTTGGGGCTGGTGATATGAAACCTAAGCAATAATAATGACTATTCTGAGACAATGAGGAAAAATATTTGTGATGCTAACAATTTTAGGGTCATTTTAAACATTTACATGATATGTCATACTATAATAAAAAAGAGATTGATGGAGGTTCATAAGAAAAGAGCCGAAGGTCCTTTATTTGAATTTAGTTAATTATGGCTTTTTTGTCTCTTCTTTAACTCTGATATTGTTCTGTATAACTTTTTGAAATTTAGAAAATTTGATTACTTCTAACCACTATTTCCATGAAAATTTTCTTAGACTTCTTTCTCATACTTCAAAATCTCTCTATGACTCATAATTTTTGTATAACAAAGATGAAAATTTTAAAAAAAATATAGCACTTTAAGATTTCGGAGGACTGATTTACCTTAAGACAAACTGTTCTTGAAAATGTAGTGTATGTATCGAAAATACGAATATTACTGAATGATCATATGTAAGCTTAATAAAATAGTTCAATTCTGTGCGAAGCACGGATAATTTACCTAGTATCAATATAATTAAAAAAAAAATATCTTAAAATATAGAACAAAATCTAAATAATTTAACTGTCGAAAAGTAAATTGAGTGTTAATAAAGAGTAAAGTTGCACAGATTCTTTACTTGTCTGTTGAGACACTGTGGCAATAATAAACGAAACACTTACTAATTGCAAAAATAGTAATTCAAAACAGTATAATAATAATTTGATCAACTCCAATAGATGTTTATTCTATCTTCACATGAGCGACTTATACTTTATGTGCATTTTGCTTTTGAATGATGTGATTATGTAAAAGAAATTTTACTCCTTCAATAATGTAAAACTTAAACTCATCAAAACATTTTGGAAGATGTTACAGCTAGTAAAATTGGAGCTCCACTGGTTTCAAAATTTTGCATTAATACCTCTAAAGACTAGAAATGAATGTAAAACTCGGTGCTGACAAAAAATTAGGCGATTCTTCCCATCTGTCTTACCCTTGGTAGACACAATTACCTTATACATAGTGCTAGTGGGAGGTGGCAGGTATCCCATGGAATTAGTTGAGGTGCGTAAAAAATGGTTTGGACACTCGATAATACTAGAAGTGAATGTACCAACCAAGTCGAGCTTATTTCAAGTCCCACTTTTCTAGTCTGGAGAAGAAAAGATTCAACCATAATGTTCTAGAGTTTTCAAGTCAAAAAAGTCTGCCCTTAATCTACAAGTCTAGAAAACGATGCTGTACTAGTTACGCAAAATATCTGATAGAAAAAAAGTTTTTGAAATCTCAAAGTTGAAAACATTAACTTCATGTCCAAATCATACACCATTACATACAAATAGGACATAGACATTATTAAATTGAATATGAATCTATCATGTTCTTTGCTGTCTACTTCAAATGTCTTTCACAGCTGTGCAATAGCAAGTATGATTTAGCTTCCTCCAAGATTTTGTTTCACAACAACAAATTAAGCGTTATTAAGCACAATCGGCTTTGTTTATCTGTTACACCCAATTATATACATTTCATGCTAGCATCACAGCCAAGCACAAGCAGAAGAGATGAATGAGAAACTAGAGGCGAGTAGGGATTACATTAACAAGTGCAGGTACCTCAAGATTGTATGTTACATTTTTCTGACATGGAGAAAAACCATAAAAATGTTAGTCATCAGCATCACCTTGTCGTGCCCTTGTGTTGTGCATCCAGAACAGATAATTTCGTGTGTCATCTGAATATCATTTGGATTGATGAAGGAAATAACTGGAATGCCTTTGCCAGAAACACATCATCAGCAATGTTGTTGCTAGTGGATGACCAGTGTACTCTAAGAAACAGTAGCATAGAGCTTGGAATCCAAAACATAAATACTCGACCACACAACAATTCATGATCCTCGGCATCAAGCTTAACGTGCACTGCCTTTTCTATTCATTACGTCGTGGTAATACAGGAGCACACACATTGGCTGACCAAGAATGCAGAAAAAGCACCAGAACATCATATTGCCCACCTAGAAAGATTATATAACTTAATGTCAATCGCTTTTAATTATATTTTAGATGAATGTAGAAGAAGGAATCAGCTGAGCGTATGGAAATATAACTGCACCCAAAAACATACCATCGAGCTTTGGAACTGATTTTGTAAGAAGTTTGTGAGAATGACCAAAGGAACCTGATCAAAGAAACATCGCCATATTTAATCTTCAGCATGGGCAAAGAAGATAATTCCACCATTTTCAAATAATGATGTATTAAAAGCAGTGTTCTCAGGAAACATGAATAACAATGAAGTTAAGTTCTAGTGTTCTATGCACCTGATGAAAATAACTACTAACCTGCTATAATTAGTTAAACTACGCTGATAGTGTAAATTTGTAGCCAGTGTATACAATTTAAATCCAGTAACATAATGCTAAATGCCATTACCTGGAACATAATTCCAATGAACGCCCAAAACTTGAAAAGCCGACAAGGAACAGCAATACACAGCTGCAGATAGGCAGGAACATGTCATCTCAGAGACTTCAGACCAGTAGTTGTAAGTTACCATTACTGGGTTACGTTATAAAATATGGAAGAGGGAGGAAATAACGTACCTCATGGAAAACAGCAGATACAAGGAAAGCAATCAGTAATGCGATCGCCTGCACCAAGCGTTAGCAGATATTAAACTTGTCAAAGCAGAAAGTGCAAAATTATTTCAAGCAAAAGGTTGGCATTTTATCCTATTTACACTCACCAATTAACAGAGATCTGACAGCTAAATACTTTTACGTAAAATATTCTGTTGAATTGTCAACTAAAAAATGTACATTATGAAGGTCGAATATCAGAGGCAACTATTCCATTTTCAGCATAAAGACGTAATCTTAAGGTTTTAAACCCATCTACACTGGAAATATTTGTACTTGAAGATCAACATATGATAAAAAGGTGAAAATGCTGCCATAAGTTCTCTAAAAAATGCATTTTGAATTGAGGAATCATAAAATGAACATATATTGCTGCATATACGATGAAACTAAAAGTAGAAGAAATATCAAAAATCAATTTGGAGGCGAACACAAGAAAAGTATGATATATACACGAAAAAACAAAAAAACGAGTAATTGAGACTAAGAAGGCACCTTTGGAATTCCATTCCTTAAGCATGGGAAATAAATGTGACGAACCATCCACTTATGAACAGGCTGCAATAATCACAAGATACATTGTTACTAATGTAAAGGAAAGGAAAATGCTTGACAAAGATGGAAGCTTAATTGCATGTGCTTGTAAATTAGGGTTCTTTTTATCTGGTGGAATAGGACAATTAATTTGGGGAAGCAGGACTCGATAAAGGTAATTGTTTAATGTGGTCTCATGCAATCTGTTAGGTGGACAGAAAATACTCCATTCAAACTTAAAGGATAGTTTCATATAAGAGGGAAAAACACAGAACAAAAGCTATATTTCGGAAACCATTTAAGTTGAAAAAACTCAAATATATTGACCAATTCCATTAGATTTAACATATAATTTAGGGTGTTCATTAGGATGGACCAAAAATGCACCCTTTTTGTAACCTAATAGGTCAACCTGAATAGCCAAATGGACACCAATACTTGCACCTATTTGTGTTCCCGGCCCTGGACTCCACGAGGTTTCATCCAGACACCTAAACATGGTCAGAATTAGTGTTTTAAACTCCTCTAACTGCTGACCAAGGTTATGTTTTGTTTGTCTAAAACACCAAATTTGTTTAGGTGTCAGGATGAAACCCTGTGGAACAAAAGGGTTGTTGCACAAATCAGTGCAAGCACGTGTGTCTATTTTGCTTTCAGTAGAAGTTTCATTTTTTTTAAAATGACCCTTCTTCCTTTAAGGGGTAAAAGTTGACTCTGTTACTTAGTATACTTTAACCAAACTGGCATCCTTATTGCAGTTATATTTTACAACAAGTATGACAGTAGAAAAATCAAACTACAGAAAATAAATAAACTTGATTATTGATTTCAATGTTGCTCGGACTCTTGAAGTCCATTAAACTCACTAGTCACTTCAGTAGTAACCTAAAGGCAGAATACCTAAAGACCTCCCTAAGCTTTTTTTTTTTTTTTTTTTTTTTTTGGGGGGGGGGGGGGGGGGTGGGAGCTGAATTTGGGCGGATCAAAATGAGCTAAGTTAATAAATGGGAAGGTTTAGACATGTGTGAGGAGGTGCATGTTTGGACATATGCAGGTGTGGGGCAGGGCTCCGAAATAAGATAATTAAATTATATGCGGGTTTTTGGTGCGATTTAGAATTTAAAGTGATCTCAAAGTTTTATGGTCTTAAGAGTTCATCCATGTTTGGAGATCATCATATTCATGGGTGCACTTGATATCACAGTGATTAGTGTCAGGCTGTCAGCAAAGACACATCAGGGATTTAAACTCCATAGGTTCAATTTTTTACGTTTTGTATTTTTAAATTTACACATTCATATCTACTCCCTCAGTCCCACGTTATATGACACTTTTCTTTTTACTCAGTTCCAAAAAGAATGACACATTTCCTTATTTGACAAATGTGTTTTTTTTTTTTTGACAAGGTAACTTTGTATTCACACAAAAAAAAACCTCATCAAATAACAACTGATAAGGTGGGATTTACAACCCCATAGGGCATCCTGATAACCAAAAACCCAAAAAAGAACTTTACAATTGTCCTATGAAGTCCACTAGACTTACTACCCCCCCCACCATATCTTGTTTACACCAAAAATACAGTAAACTCAGACTCTTCATCTTGATCTTCTGAATGCTGCTAGCTTGCCCGTCATGGGATCTTTCATTCCTTTCCTTCCAAAGTGTCCACCAGATGCAAGCTGGAATATATTTCCACCAGTCCTCTTTTGATCTTCTTCTTCTGCTCATTCCTTCCCAGTGTTTCAGCATGTCTAAAGAAGTTTCTGGCATTACCCAGCTAACTTCAAGTATACATAAGAACATGTGCCACAGATTTACAGCTGTTTTGCAATGTAGGAATAAGTGGTTGTTAATCTCTGCCTCTTTATCACAGATATAACACCTTGAGCAAATCTATATACCTCTTCTCTGTAACCTTTCGTGAGTTAAACATGCTTTTCTGATCACCAGCCATGAGAAACATGACACCTTTAGTGGAATTTTGATCTTCCAGATTAGCTTCCATGGCCACTCCATTCTCATTCTCCGGTTATGATTCATATTCCAGTAGCAGGATTTCACCGTGAAACTCCCTTTGTTGTGCAGCTTCCATATTGGACTGTCAGGTCCTTCTGTGACACCTGGGAATGGGTTCAACACCTGCAACAGCCCAGCTACTCTACTAATCTCCCAGTCATTTAGAGCCCTTCTGAAAATCAGGTCCCACCCTTGAGGAGTCCATACCTGTGCCACTGTAGCCATCTGTTGTAGACTTAAAATAAATAGATCTGGGAATAAGCTTTTCAAGTCCCTATCCCCTATCCAAATCTCATTCCAAAAATCAGTTTTAACCCCATCTCCAATTTTGAATGATATATTGGAGGCGAAAGAAGGCCATAGTCTTCTGATAGTTTTCCAAACACAACACCCAAAAACACCTGTTACTTCATCAGTGATCCAATTATTTTGAAGACCATATTTATGTGAGATGAATCTTCTCCATAATGCCAAATCTTCAATACAGAACCTCCAAAGCCACTTTTTCAACAAACTAACATTCTGTACTTTCAACTTTTTTATCCCCATACCCCCTTGTATTTTGTTGAGGGTCACCTCATCCCATTTGACTAGGTTGTACCCAAGCTTCTCTTTGTTCCCCTGCCACAAGAAGACTCCTTAGTTTGTTGATTTTCTTCTTTATGTTTCCTGGGATTGGGAATAGGCTCATCATGTAAGTTGGGAGGGCATCCATTACTGACTTTATGAGAGTTAATCTGCCTCCCATAGATAGGTATTGGCTCTTCCATCTTGTCAGCTTTCTCTCACTTCTTTCCAACACTTCACTCCATACTTCCACTTCTTTATTTTTTGCACCAAGAGGCATTCCAAGATATTTAGTTGGTAAGGAATCCATTTGGCATCCTAGGTTCTCAGCAAGTATCTGCATATTGGTAACTTGGTTAACAGTGTACAAGCAACTTTTATGCCAGTTAACATGTAAACCTGAGATGCCCTCAAAAATGGTTAGGATAGCCCTCAAGTGTCTGATTTGCATTATTTCAGCTTCACAGAATACCAAGGAATCATCTGCATATAACAGATGTGTGATTTCCATAGTATTTCCCCTGTTAGCATTTGCAGGGAAGCCTCTTATCCACCCATTCTCACTTGCTCTTCCACTTCTTTAATTTTTGCACCAAGAGGCATTCCAAGATATTTAGTTGGTAAGGAATCCATTTGGCATCCTAGGTTCTCAGCAAGTATCTGCATATTGGTAACTTGGTTAACAGGGTACAAGCAACTTTTATGCCAGTTAACATGTAAACCTGAGATGCCCTCAAAAATGGTTAGGATAGCCCTCAAGTGCCTGATTTGCATTATTTCAGCTTCACAGAATACCAAGGAATCATCTGCATATAACAGATGTGTGATTTCCATAGTATTTCCCCTGTTAGCATTTGCAGGGAAGCCTCTTATCCACCCATTCTCACTTGCTCTTTCACTTCTTTATTTTTTGCACCAAGAGGCATTCCAAGATATTTAGTTGGTAAGGAATCCATTTGGCATCCTAGGTTCTCAGCAAGTATCTGCATATTGGTAACTTGGTTAACAGGGTACAAGCAACTTTTATGCCAGTTAACATGTAAACCTGAGATGCCCTCAAAAATGGTTAGGATAGCCCTCAAGTGCCTGATTTGCATTATTTCAGCTTCACAGAATACCAAGGAATCATCTGCATATAACAGATGTGTCTTATTTGACAAATGTTTAATGACATTATCAACATATTACCCATGTTGGGTCCCACTTATTTGGCAAAAAGTCCACAAAGGTAAGGATAGCTTTGGAACATTGTCTTCCCATAATTCTTAAACTCCGTGCCTAGTCAAATTACATCCCATAAATTGGATGGGAGGGAGGGAGTAATATTTATTGTAATTTTAGTAGACTTTTATACAAAAATTTATGCTAGGCATTAGAAGTACAGGGTTCAAATAAACCCAGTGCCACTATGTTGCATCCGCCCCCTGAGTGTAAGTTATTCTATTCTTTTGAATTTTGAAAAGCAATTTGGAATATATCATTTACACGTAAAAATGGAAATGAAAATAATCTAAAACACACCTAAAATTGGGAAAAAAAATGTAACATGTATTTTGCAGAGTTACTGCAATCGCTAACCAAAACTAATACAGATCATTCTTATTCCATTTTTAATATTGATAAGATTTCTAAAAGATATTTCCTATGTCAATATGTATAAGTGTAGAACAGTGCATCACTAATATAATGACCTCCAGGTCATTTTCTCTATTTTCCAATCTTTTACGCATTTAGAGGTTTCTTGTGGCGACCCCAAGTCCTTTATGACTTGTTGTGACTGATAGTTTGGTTGCCAAATTGTTCGTTTGGGTTTTGTGCAAGTTTTCGTGTTTAGGAGCCTTTGAAACTTGAACAGTTGACTTCGGCCAAAAGTTGAGGAAGACGGCCTCAGAACGCAATTCTGACGGTTTCACTAGCTTTTAAAGGGCCATTTTAGGCTAGGGGCATGGTTAGTTCGGGCCCCGAGACTTCTGGTGTGAGTTTGTGCCGTTAGGCGTTTTAACTTTGAAGCTTAAGCCAAGGTTTGACTTCGGTCAACATTCATGGTAAACGTGCTCAGATGAGAATTCCGTTAGCGCGGTTAGCCCTTGAATGTCGAGTTTGGTCTAGAATGACCTTTCGTGCGGTTCTTGAGGGTTCCAGTCACTTTGAGCCTTCTTGTGGATTTTAGCTTAGAACAGAACTTGGGTGTGGGGCCCACTTTTTATCGAAACGACCTCGGATGGAAGTTTTGATGGTACCATTGAGTCCGAAATGCCAAATTAGATGGGGTAGCATATTTCGTTTGTGCGCACACATTTCGAACGAATCTCGAGCACCCCGTTGGAGAATTAGGTGTATGAGCAAACCGGTTGAAGTGTTGATATCTGGTGCAGGCTTTTAGAGACCAGAATTTAGGCCTTAAGTGACCGGATTCGACTTTTAGTGACCATTTTCAGTTGTTTATATCCAAAAAATTTAGCTTCAGTCCTCATTTTCAAAGTGCGATATCTCGAGCTTGGAAGCTCCGATTGAGGTGATTCGAAGTTGTGAACGACTGGAATTTTCGTGGCTACGCAGTGGAGTTTTTGGGAAGTGTCGGGGTGTTAGGAATGCGTTGGAAGTAATTAATTTAAGTATTTAATTATATTTTTAGTTGCTTTATTTATTATTCTAGAATAAGGTTTAGTTTCAAAGTTTCATAAGGATTAGGTTAAGTTATAGTCATTAGTTTGGAATAGGATTTAGGTCTCCTACTTTCATAAGAATTAGACTTCCTATTGATGTAATAAGACTCCTATTTAAAGGGGCTTTTGATGAATAAATCAGTAAGTCATAATTCAGCAAAAAGCAGGAGATTGGAGTTCTTTCTTCCATTGAACACTAAGGTTTCAGTCTCCCTTTGAAGAGCTGAAGAGATCGGAGTTCTCCTTTAATGAATTCTAAGGTTTCAGCCTCCCTTTAATGAGCTGATTTATATATCGCCTTGTGAATCGATCCTTCTCTAAGAATCATAACAATTTGGTATCAGAGCCTAACACAATGGGCGATGAGATCAGTTCTCAATTTTAAGGAAAACATACCATTACAGAAACCCTAATGGACTCTAAAATTGCAGCAATGGAACAACGCCTCATCGAATGAATTGTCCAAGTCATCCAAGAACAATTGTCTAGATTGAGAATTGACTCCACAAAACCAGCAACCCACAAACCTGAGTCAAATAGTGCCCAAACAACTAGCAGATCAACAATTCCTGCTACAAAAGGCAATACACCACCTACTTATAACGGCACCAATAATTCATTAATTCGAGCATATCGTTGTGAACATTTTTTTGAAAAAAATCAACATACAATGATAGCAAAAAAGTTTGGTGTGGCTGGATTTCACATGTTCAGACTAGCACCATTATGGTATTATCAACTTAAACGAGCGAAAGGCTCAATGAGTTGGGAAGAATATCATCGATTTGGACCTCATGAAAGTAGCAATCTGATGGGCAAATTAGTCGTGCTTCAGCAAACTGATAGAGTCGAAATTTAGCAATGTCAACTTCAAACTAGGGTTGGAATTGGATAAGTTGATACTGATCCAGATTTTCGATTGGCCCGAAACTTGAGCTTGAGGACAAGCTCTTTCAACGTGAGGGGAGTAATGTTAGGGATGCGTTGGAAGTAATTAATTTAAGTATTTAATTATATTTTTAGTTGCTTTATTTATTATTCTAGAATAAGGTTTAGTTTCAGAGTTTCATAAGGATTAGGTTAAGTTATAGTCATTAGTTTGGAATAGGATTTAGGTCTCCTACTTTCATAAGAATTAGACTTCCTATTGATGTAATAAGACTCCTATTTAAAGGGGCTTTTGATGAATAAATCAGTAAGTTATAATTCAGCAAAAAGCAGGAGATTGGAGTTCTCTTTTCCATTGAACTCTAAGGTTTCAGTCTCCCTTTGAAGAGCTGAAGAGATCGGAGTTCTCTTTTAATGAATTCTAAGGTTTCAGCCTCCCTTTAATGAGCTGATTTATATATCGCCTTGTGAATCGATCCTTCTCTAAGAATCATAACACGGGGGCTCTCCATTTGAGGTATATTCCCCCCCGAAGGGGCTTCCAGCTCTCTTTTGTGTTCTTTAATTGGTGATTTTGTTGCATGAGGTGGTTGGGCTGTTCCAGGCATGGAATTGACCCCCATTTCGGGGAACAAGCTTGGTTAGTCAATTGGGACCTTTGACGGAGTCAATTTTGAGATTCCCAATTCAGGTCCCATATTCCCGTTTTGACTCGATTTTGGTTATGTTTCCGATTATTGTGATTTTAGTGTCTAAACATATGTAATGACATTTGTGATTGGTAATTTGATAGTGTGGCGGTGTTTTGAGGCGTTTCAAAAGTGGATAGCCCCTATGCGGTGGATTCGAAGCACTCGTGATCGGCTTTGAGGTAGGCTTCAGTCTACTTTCTTGATTAGATAATGCTAGTATACATTTTATATGATTTTGGATTGTATTTGTCGGGTATTTAGCTATCCTCTTGGTATTCCATCTTTTTTAACTCAATAGGCTTGGGCTTATAGTGGGTGTTGGGATCCTTAGTTTAGGCTTGTAGCTTTACTTGTGGTGTAGATGATCTTCCTTATCCTTGTTAGGATTGATTCGTGGTGGCCTTAGACTAGGCTAGACATTAGATGCTTTAGGTTGTGTTTTATCGCATTGTAGTTATGATTTGCTCTCTTTAGGGCTTGTTTTGGGTCGTTCTCCTTGCGTTGATGCTTGTGACCTTGGTGGTTCATCGTAGTCGTGGGTTGGTCCTAGCTATGCTCAATCTGGGACTGGAGCGGTGTGATTGGGGTAGGGCGTCATCCCTTGAGTTTGCTCCACCTTTATTGATTTGAAATCTCTTCTTGATCCCTTCGCTTGTTGTTTAGCAGTAGGTCTGTTGTATCCTTATTGAGCTTATGATTATATTGTTGGGCCCGAGGCCGTGTGCGAGGACCAGTTGGATCCCAAGTTAGTACTCTCCGCCTTGATAGCATGGTTTGGTTGGCTATGTATTTATTTGAATTGGAGTGCCTTGTTTAGATGCTGGTGATGGCATGCATTGCATTGTTTGTTCATTCTCACAGATTTGTGGTACGATCCTGGGGCATGCATTGGCATATTTATCTTTCATGTTAAAACACTATTTTACTCTACTCTATTCTAAATTGGTTTTAACGTGAGTCGTACCACCTGGATCACTTGATTTCTAGTTTTTGAGATTACGAGGCGTCAGGGACGTGCTCCTTTCCTACTTGAGATATTAGAGGCATCTGGGATGTGCTCAGTTTTCACTTGACTACCCAACACGTCAATGCCCTTTCTTGCATGCTTTTGGTCTTACTTACGCCCCCGGGTTGGGTTACTCTTGCTAGCTGGGCGGCCCTGATTTGCATGAGATCCTCTTTAGAGTCGACACGCCCTCGAGTCACTCTTGCTAGTTGGGCGGCTTACTCCCCTAGGAGTGGATTGACTGGCTAGGTGGCCTCGATTGATTTGTCACTCTTGCTAGCAAGGCTGGGAGTTGACTGGAGTCCTATGGTTATGGTTTCGAATGGTCACTGATGGTTCTGTTACTCACCCTGCATTCATATGTATTGCCTATCACCAGTATACTTGTTTGTTGATTGCACCACCAATTTTATGGGGGGCGTTGGATTATGTTTGCTGGTTGTACCTTCCGAGCTTAGGGGGGTCCGGTTAGGTTATTGTTTGACTATATTATGTATCTGTAATTGCATTCTTTGTTAGCTGATAGGCCTGACTTTAGAATTGTGGTTGTGGGTCCTCCTGACCCTGGGTAGTCGACTTGGTATCTTAGTTACTTGCAAATAGGTTGTTGGCTTGCGTTCCAGGTACGTTCTTGACTCTGCTTCTTACCCCTTGTATCCTGCTTCAATTATGTATTGCCTGTCTACTTTAGTATCTCCTGTTTAGTTGCTTGTGCTATGCTTTCCTTATTACTTGTTGTTTATGCTTGTGTTATCTTTTGAGCTCAGTCGGCCGATGCCTACAGAGTACCGATTTTGGTGCTCATACTACATTTCTACTCCCTCCAAATCCTAGTTTGAGTTATCTTGTCTGTTCATTTGGAGTCGTGGGGAGCAGCTTGGAGTCTAAGAGTCTAGGGTGAGCTCCTGGCGTTCGCAGTTGTCAGTTTTTGTCTATTTTTGGCTAGGCTTAGTCTTTATATTGTATTCTAAGACCTAGTCTGTACCTATCTAGTATTTGTAAAAGCCTTGTACTCTTTTTGGATTAGATGCTCAATTACTGACTGATGTCAGGTCTTGGGATGGTTCATTGTGTTGCATTTATATTGATTACCCTTTCTTATCTTTGTTATAAGATTTATGCTTCTTATTGCTGACTTCCTCTTGATAGTCTGTTGTTTATGGCTCCGGGCTAAGGGTTAGGCTTACCTACTGGTGGGGCATAGTAGGTGTCATCATGACCTGAGAAATCGGGTCGTGACAACTAACTTCACGACTGAATTCTTCTATAATATTAATTATTAGCAGCAGCCTTTGAAAACTTAAAATTTGTTTCAATTTTAGAGCCAGCCATTTTTATGTTGTTTTAAAGCTCTAAAGGTCAAAAAAAAGAAAATAGAACTTAAGAACACACTTTAATTCCCTAACTGACATGCAAAATTCCAGCCAGACAAAAAAGAAATAAAACTAACGGATTTTTATGAAAATGAATACTTAAACGACGCGGGGGTGGATGCATGCTGGTATAGTATAGGGCAGGTGGACGGGGTGAAAGTGCTATGGGGCGGGGCGGATTTGAAATTTTGCAGGTTAAGATAGAAACCACACTGCACTGCTTGCCATCCTTATAGTTAATTGTCATCCCTGTCAAGTGTACTTTTGGAAAGATACAGGTTGGGCCAAAGATATTTTGGCAAAGCTAACTGTGGAGTGAAAGAGAAGGCAGACATTTGATTCTGTTAAGGAAGGCTTTACTTAGTGGCAATTACATCATTTCAAAATGTACTTTTGGTAGAAACTGAACGTCAATCAAATAAGTAGACTTCTTGATCAATACTCAATAAGACAACAACATGTTTGCATGCATGAGAATCAGGAAATGATTTACGGTAAAAGGCAGATAGACGTACCATATTCCACATTCTCCAGTACTGATAACAGCAGCCGCAGCAGGATAATCACACAAGAAAAGAATAAGAAACTCCAACCAGATCTGAAACAGTTCGTATAACAAAAGGCAAAGTGATACTTGAATCTACCTCATCAATTGTTTTGGCATTCCACCAATCCTTGTAGAACTCACGATCACCAAAACATAGTAGTTCGGCAAGTATATTTAGCCTGAAGACAAATATGAAATATGTAAACAGAACTAAGTCTCTTTGATGCAAGGGAACATAAGCAAAATATTCGTTTTAGTATTATTCAGAGATCAGTGTAGAAAATTTTCATATCCTCGTTAACACTGTTAAGAAGTCCCACATCGGAAAAGGGATGGGCAATTTGGTCTCCTAATATGGACTTGGACGATCCTGACCCTACAAGCTAGCTTTGGGGTTGAGTTAGGCCCATGTGTCATATCTTTACAATGGTATCAGAGCCAAGTCCATCCCAATTCTTTGTTCACCGATGTTGGACCCCATTTATATTGCCCACGCTCCAGTTAACGAGGTTTGGGCGTGCGGCGGAGTGCTAAGAAATCTCACATCGGAAAAGGGATAGGCAATTGGTCTCCTTATATATGGACTTGGACAATCTTCACCCTACAAGTTAACTTTTGGGGTTGAGTTAGGCCCAAGATCCATCTTTACAAACACCAACGCCATTTCGAAGAGAAAGCAAAGAAATAAATTATGATGACATGACTCTGAATCTTTAACACTAACAAAAATAAGGAAGAATGCATTGTCTAAACATCAGATGAGTTCTAATGTCATGCCAACAATCATAACTATTCAAAGGATTTAGAAGGCCTTAGCATTAAGGCATTCACAACTAAAAGGTACTTTCTTATTCTAGGGGAACTTGTTCTCTCTTTTTATTTGGGTGGGGTGGGGTGGGCGAGGGGGGAGGGGAGGGGGACAGATAAATTTCAAACAGATATATGCTAAACTAAAACCATTCAGGCTCATTGAATCCAGAGGTTCTTTTGGTGCACCATCTGATCCTTTCTTTTCTCCTTGATAGTAAGCACTAGAGGTGGCAAATGGGCGGGTTGAGTCAAATTTGGGCGGGTTGAAAATGGGCCAATATAAAATGGGTAATAATTTAACCCGCTCATATTTCATATGGGTAAAACTGGACTGGATAACAAATGGGTTGGGTAAAATACAAGTTTACCCATATTTTTATGAGTAAATAGTACTCTACTTTAGAATTCAACATGGAAAATATATTTTAGTCTTATTTTGGGATGAAAAATGTTGAAAGTATTTTATTTAATTTAATTGTATCATAAAAGTCAAAAAAAAAATCCTATGACTTTTCAATATAAAATAAATTTATGTAATAAGAAGGGGGAAATATTTTTAATTTCAAAGTAAATGAATATTTGCATTTTAGGAGTAAAACATGCTTAATGCACTTTAAGCAATATCAATAATAATACATGATTTGCTTATTTTACACTATTATTTATTATCCAATATAAAATTAAACAAATAAGAAAATATAATTATAACTAACAAAAAAAATGTACATTTAATATATATATTTTTTGAGGGGCCAAAGACTTCACATTTTCAATTATAGAGAGGAATAATTAGTTTTATAGAAGAACATAAAAAGTAAGAAAAGTTGCAACATTTTTAGTATGTCATGAATTTTGAGTGAATAAAAGTTGAAAGCTTAACCCATTTGGCTTAATCCATATTTTACCCATAGTTTACCATATTTTACCATGAATACCCATATTTTTATGGGTTTAAACCCATATTTACCCATGTAAAAAGTCACTCACCCAACCCATTAAAGTATGGGCGGGTTACCAAAATATGGGCTCATTTTGCTAGTACTAATAAGCACTAATCATGTTTAGAAACTCAAATTTTAGTAAGCGATCAACACTTCTACGATTACTAACTAAGCATCAAAAGTTGGAATAAACATGTTTCGATTGGGAAAGGGGAAACACGTGGAGACAGACACTTCAACGATATTAATGGTAATTGTTCTGAAGGATTTTACAGCACACATTTCTTGCAAGAAAAGGGATTCAAGCATTGAATAAAAGGAAAAGAAGTAAATAATAAAAATTAAAAGTAGAGGGACATACCAAAGATGAAAGATGCAATAAAACATGCAGAGCCAGACATATAAATTTGGAACCGAAAGCTTCAATACCCTCTCAATGGCATATAAAAGGTTTCCTTTCAAAGGATGTTGTGAATTTTGCACAATTGGGTTAATGTACTGCACAAGGATGAATCCCGTCAGACTGTATTTATGCTTATCAGAGGAAATTCTGAACCTTCACAAAAGAAAAAAATCACCTGTTCTATGATAAATCCCATCAATCCTGTAAATATTACCAGCTTGATGAATTGTCGGGCCACCCAACCTTTGCGAATGCATGGAGTGCGGGGATAGCTAAGCTTCAGATAACAGAATAAATAAATCAAAAAACTAATGAGTTGATGTAAGAAACAACTCCTAAAGTGAAATCTTTGATCCCTTACATAGGATTTTTATTTAAAAGGGGATTTAATGATAAGATAATAGCTTGAGTAACCTATTTCCTTTGGTTATCAAAAAAACAATTATAAGATGTTAGCATATAATTTTTTGTAAGAAAAAGGAAGAGGGAACCACAATAAGTTAATAATCTAGATAGATAAGAGTCCTTCAATAATGGATAATCATGGAATGAACTTTATTCAGTTCTAGCTTAATTGTTTGGTTGAGTTGTCTTTCAGGACCAGACCCAAAATTAGCATGATAAAATACACTAGAGTAGTCAAAATGAATGAATATGTTCAATTCTACAACTTCCTAAATCTACTAATTGAGCTGGACTTAACCCAACGTTCTAAATTACAAGGAACTGCTCTTGGAGTCTGAATATGAACAGTAAAATTCGATAAGAAATTCAAAGGCAGCAGAGTAAATAGTTTAAAGAGTATCATATAACCCAATCCTTTTGCAATCTCAATGAGTAATTTAAAACATCTAAATACCAACAATACTAAGTCCAAGGTACATCGTCATGCATACAAGAATAACAAGTTAGTATAGTTACATGTGTATCTTCATTAAAATGGTTTTTTAATAATTTACTCCATTTGCACCAATATTATTTGAACAAACTGTTTCGAGCACGGAATCTATCACCAAAAGCATTTGAAGGCAATAGTTGTAGAGAGGGAAAAATGAGGATTCTAGCAAATGAGAAAACCGACCATATGATACATACTATAGGGTAGCAGACTAGCAGGGAAGAAATTAGACTTGTTAAAAGTAATATTAGGGATCAGCACCCTGCAAAACAATTTCAAAATCTAAAAGACAAATAATAAGTTGATGACTACAAATCACAAGATTCCTACCACCAAATTTACAATTTGTATTGCAACACCAATTTAAAGCTCCTAATTTTTTATATATTTAGAAGATCGATAGCCCCTCTCTCCCACTTGTGACCTAATTTACTTTACCCTCGTAGCCAAATTGACCAATGCTAAGAATGATGTCAGATCAAGGGTGTGGCCTAGTGGTCAATGAAGCAGGTTGAGAACTACGAGTATCGGGTTCAAATCCCAAAAGCAAACATACTAGGGGATTTCTTCTTACCTGTAAGGTGTCGTTTAATGTGTAGGATAACACCAAAAAGTCCTGGGATTAAATTCTAGTGCCACTTACTTTGTTGTTTGGTTGGCAAGTTCGGGATAACTTATACCAGAATAAGTTGTCCCTTCCCTTGGGTGGTATAGTAATTCTGGGATAAAACAGGTAAATGACAAAGATATCCCTTTAAACCCTTTTTATACATCACTTTTCACATTCATGTAGGTTATTTTTGTAAGAAAATAATTTGTTTCTTAAAATTTATGCAATGCATATTATTTTGAATACAACAAACCAAACACCCAATAAGAAATAATCTCAGCATAACTTATCCCATCATAACTTGTATTCAAACCAAACGACTCCTAAAAAGCCTTGGTGGACAGAGTTACCGGTACTTGTGTTGGTGGGACATTGCAGGTACCCTGTAGAATTAGTCATGGCAGTATCTACTGATTGAGTTTTTAGTTGAAAATGCCTGATAGATCAAGAATAGTTTGATGGTCAAATTATATAACCTTGACCATTGAAGTCTATGTATGATAGTTAATTTGGCACATATCAAATACAAGTTTATCAGCAATAATGTCTAGTCCTCTATGACCAAACCCAAAACCTGAAAGCATCAACTAGGTACAGACATCCACTCCTAATTTCTATATTAAACATTGCAAACCACCATAAACAAGTTTATCTATTTAGAATCGGGGTTAATTTGCAAACAAACATAAGCTAATGATGTCATGGTGCAGGTTTGCAACGATGAAAGAAAATGACTGGATAAAATTTTGCAAGATTTAACTGATCCTACCTGATAACATAATGTTGGAGCAACCATGAAGTAAGCTAAACTCTTGAAGCTAACATCATAAGAGTAATCCGCATCTGAAGTTTCAACCTAACAACATAACAACATAAATAAGTGAATAACAAGAACAACATACCCAGTGAAAGCCCACAAAGGGGGGTCTGAAAATAAGTGAATAAAGAAAGAAAAAGAACATAAAAAAGCTAGATATAAGAGATTCAATATAAAATTGTTCAAACCACAAGAATAAGATAAATCACTGAAGTTGGTTCCTGGGAATTGGTTTCACCCGAAGCATCGGACCAATCTAATGATTTTTAGTATTCACACCCAAAAATGAAGCTTTAATTCAGCGCAGATCCTATGGGTCTATGAGAAGAGGACACGGATTAATAATACCTTATCCATAGACTTTGCAAGTACTCTCATATCGTGATTTGTATGTGCATAAGAAACCAGCTTCATCCACACAATACAAGCAACGAGCATCAATATGACACCAGACAGAAAAGCAGAATCACACCTGTGCAGTTTAAAAGCATTAACTTGATATAAATTTTAAATATATACCAGCTAGAGAAATAGCAGTTGGACAGGTACAGTTGAAAATTCTTCCTTCGTAATGATAATCCAAATTTTACATCAGTGATTATCCTACCCAACATCCCAAAATGAAGGTTTAAAATGTCTCAAATAGTTAAACTCAGAATCAAATATTAGTTCGTAAGCAGAACTCCTGCCCTAATAAATAGTCATTTTTTGACATCTAAAATATTTTATATTCACTAGCTAGAAAATTTCTCAGTTTTACCACAAACATGGAAGCAGCCAGAACCGCCTATCATACACTTTTAAGAGGATATATATCAAAGTTTCATGATTACAATGCATAAAGACATACTTGAGAATGACCAGAACTGGATACAAAATGGCAACTGTTGTTATAGTTATGTGAAGAATGACCACCACCTGCAGCATCACGCAGAAAAAATTATTGATTAAGTTTGAGTCTTAAAGTATTTGTGGATCATAAAAATAGTCAAAACATCACAAGTGAAAATCACAATGGCCACAAACACAACTATAAACAGGAAAATGAGTCGGTGAGAACTCCATGTGAAAGATATTTTCACTTCACATAACAAGGATGGATTTTAGAAAGGAAAAAATAAGGAAACATAGAAAAAGAGGTGATCTCGACTTACACGCTCAGTCAAACGCCTCTTCTGTGCCATCTTCTCCACAAGGAAAGCAGTCAGAGGCAAAAGTTGGAGAATGAGACTGGAAGCAAATGAAGACTTTCAAACTTTTTTGTCCAAAGAATAGTAGGTATTAAGATCAGAGCAAAGAGAAGGGGGGCCCAAGATGACAATACCAGCACATTAGAAGCGGCCAATCCCTTAAAGACTTTGAACTAAACCAAAAGCCAGCCCTAATTAACAGGCCATACTGCAAGAGTAATCAAAGTTTGTCATCTGCAGTATAGTACTTAAACATTTTGAAATGACATATCATCTCTTTTGTAACCCTATTCCTATTCATTGATTGGCTTAGATGGCGCTACTGATGCATCAAACAAGTGGGCAGGCAACAAATTGCACTGTCTAGTCAAATTAATTACAGTGATATTACAGAAAGATGTATACCTTCATCAAATTCTCGATAATCAACCTGCTGTTAACAGCAATGAGCACCACCACACAGAGATTGAACAAGCCTGCGTGACTCTACCACAAGAACCATATATAGGGCATCAGCAAAGAGTTTTATGCCCGCTTCACACAAAGGTATAAGCTCTTGTGAGCCACATGAGATGCAGTCAAGAAAAACACAAAACTGAAATTCTTTAGTCTTCAAAAAGTTTGTAGACTTCCACTTTCCTCAGTAGTTCATACATCACTAGAGAATACTGATAATATAGCATAGTAACTCTTTTATAGAAAATATAATGCTACTTGTGAGTCACATGAAATTCAAAATCACAAAAAACATGAAGTTGAGTATCTTTCGTCTGCAAAAAGTTTATAGACCTCCCTGTCTTCATTTTTTGAGAAAGATATTATTTTTTTTTGAGAAAGATTTCCACTGTCCTCATAAGTTCAAAAATCATTAGTCAATACTGATAATATTTCACAGTAACTCTTATCATTTGTCAAGGTCACCTGCTATGCTTTTCCTCGATAAAGCACAGTATAGGTGTGATCAAACCAAATATCACAAGAACCTATTACCTATTAACAGTTCTATATATCTTCTCCTGAAATTTGGTGACCATACTGTACTATGAGTATATCCTAGATCACACAGGGTGAAAATATATTATTTAGATGATGGGTTAAGGACAGCTTCTCTTGTGGCATGATCACTGACAGTGGCAGGACTACCTTTTTGGCTGACCTCTTTGTTTTAGTACCCTATCTTTCAGATGATGGGTAAGCACAGCTTCTTTTTCTGCATGACCACTGTTTGTGGCAGGAATACCATTTGGCAATCATAGATTAATGATTGATACATCCAAAAATTGAAACCGGTACATGAAAATTTTTTGGAATTGCAAGATTTTAATTTAAGACACTAGGTTTAAGTCGTGTGATTTAATGAAGCACATCAAGGACGCTGGCAAATTGCAATGCCTATTGCCTAGTTTCCTCTGACGGCAAGTCCTGCTGATGCTAACAAAAAGTGTAGGGCTAATGTGAGGGCAGTCTCTTTGAAGTTCGTGTCTTATAAAAGAAAAACCACTGCACACTGAGCACAGTTGATCCTTTTTAGTAGACAATTTCACTCAAGAAAATGTGAAAGTCAAGTTGCCCAATGAAATCATTGGCTTATGGAAAACCCCAACAGCATTTATAATTCTAGTGCATGGGGCCAACAGACAAAAAGAATGTATTCTCTTTGCTCAAAACAACAGCCTATCATAAAGCTAAAGTTTTGACTCATTGCTGAGTGAGTAGTACAATAAAAAAACAAAAACTTATCTCAATCTAAGCTTGTTTGCCATGTCTAACATTGGATTTTTGCTTACCATCATCAAACAGGCCGTCAGTTGTCCAATTCAACAGTAGCCACTTCACATATGACAATATGGATGAGACCACACAAAATGAAGGAACATAAATTTTTTTGACGAAAAATAATAACTTCCTCTAAGACCATGTCCCTGTTCACCTCTTTTTTCAGCCCCAGTTCATCATGGTTTGCAGTTCATTACAACAAAACTTCTCATTTTCCTTTAAACCTCAACCGTAGTAACCCTGAAATGTGATACAAGCCCTTTGTGCCTTGCTATCTAGAAATAGGAAGTTAACAGTTCTGCAAATTGCAATAACTACAGTGTGGAAGGTGTTCTCTGTCATCTACTGCTCACACCATGATTTACTCCAATTCAAGCATTGACCCAATGATATCGAATGCATATGCACTTCAACTTCTGCAACTAATTATTATCACCACTAGTATTCCCAGCCTTTAACAGGTAGTCAGAAAATAGAGAAATACTTTTGGACTTGGGCATTTAGATGCATTCCCTCATAAATCACATAGATCACAATTACATCCTAAAATAGACATACTACCAATCAACCCAAGGCTTGTTTGACCGACGCACAAATGAGGAGCCACGTAAGTAGCAAAATTCCTCTGTCATTGTAAAGTAAATGGTGAAATATAAACATACCTGTCTGAAAATGGCGTCGGAACTAAGAGGACTCTCCCTGATTCGTCGGTGAGCTGGCGCGGACGCCCTGTAAGAAAATTTATAGGCAGTTGTTGCTTCGGTTGTTTTGCTTTCGTCTCCATTGGCAACAGCATCGTTCCTGTCCTCCTTTTCCCTTGGATTGGATTCACCAACCGATTTAGTCGGCTCATTCATCGTTTCAAATCCAGCACCGCTGCCACATACATCATCAGTAGTATTCACATCTGCACCGTTGATTGCATTAGCCTGCTCAAAACCATTACTACCACGTCTTCTCCGAATAAGATCGGATTCAATACCCGACGCCGTTGCTGTGGCGGTGGCTCCTTGATTCTCCGGCAATTCCATGATCGGCATTACAAAATCAGAGTCGAAATGAAGGGAGATTAGAAATCGAAATCGACATGCAGTTATCGGTAACTGAAAAAGAGGATCTAAGATGAGGATATTGGTGCTTAAGGCGGTTTGATTTTTGAATTTTCACATTAAACTGGATTTGGATTTATAAGTTTATATGCGCAGCGTGGAATATGTGCGGTGCATTTTTGGGTGGAAGTGACAAAGATCACAGAGGCGTTTGGAAGTTTATGAGGTGCCAAACATTTTTTTAAGGCAAAAAGAGGTGAAGTTTTGGTTGAAAGAATGAAAGGACAAAAATGGGGAAGAAAGAATAAATAAATTAGTGGAATAATCATATTGTTTTGAGGTCAAAGGATAATTGTTCCCCATATTTAACATTTGACTGCCTACTTTTATTCTTTATATTAAAATTAATAGGGGTCTAAAAACCACTAATTGAGTAGGTTTTAAATTTTATAAAAATACCATGAAAAAAAATCGAATCATATTGAATATATTTATAAATATAAAATAAACATATACATTTTGCCTCGAGTCTAAAATGATTCAAGCAATGGCCTTTAGCTCCCAATTTTTTTAGGGGCCATGTTTCATTTTAATAATAAATTTATGAGTAAATTATTATTTATATTTTTTAAAAAGAGTACTTTAACGTAAAAAGTGTATTTATTTTCAAAATAAATCAAATAAATTTAAACAATTCAAAGTATATGAAAATTATTTTAAATATATTTTAGTGGTAAAATATATTCATATCAATGAGTGTATTTGAATATTTGTATTTGAATTATATCTGAAAATATCTTTGAGTCGAAGTTATCGTGATGGCTGGGTGATTTTTCTAGTACTGGTACAAGCATATATTATATTATATCAAATATAAGTGAGCATCCAAATTGAGTGAATAAATACCATGTATCCAATTAAATTAAGCAAACAAATATAACAAAAAATATTTCTAGGTTTGATAATTAGCCAAACTAATGCTATATTTGATAATCAATTAAATACCAAGGACCCCGCAACAAATATAACAAAAAAATTTCTAGGTTTGATAATTAGCCAAACTAATGCTATATTTGATAATCAATTAAATACCCAAGGACCCCGCTTTTTATGAAAACTCTTCTTTTTGGTATTGGTACTCAATGACCCAAATCGGTATTTTCACTTTTAAAAAAAGGTATAAAATATAGAAATCTCAACAATTTTGGTGCTAGTTATAACGACACATAAGTTATGTATTAAATATATAAGTTATATATCAGATATATAACCATAAATCAAGTACTATCATTTTTTTAAGGCAAAAAGAGGTGAAGTTTTGGTTGAAAGAATGAAAGGACAAAAATGGGGAAGAAAGAAGAAATAAATTAGTGGAATAATCATATTCTTATTAGCGGGGGACCATATTGTTTTGAGGTCAAAAGATATTTATTCCCCATATTTAACACCCTTTCCCTTAGGCGTGCCTTTACATTTATTTGACTGCCTACTTTTATTCTTTATATTAAAATTAATAGGGGTCTAAAAACCATTAATTGACTTAAAATATGTTAAATGTGTTGTAAAATATAATAAATATACTACAAATAGTATAGATAAAAGATATGTAGAGTAGAATGTAGAGATCATCTTATCAAAATGTCTTCAAGTCTCTCACTTTTGTGTCTTTACAATGGTGAAAGAATAACCCTATTTATATGTGGAGAAATCGCTCCAAAAGTTATCATATTAAGTATCATAATAAATAGATACATTCTTATCCAAAAAAGTTCATAGCTACTAGGGAATATGAATAGTTGCTCATGTATTAACTCAATGGACAATCCACTCATTCAATGAATTTATAACACTCCCCTTTGGATGTCCATAGATAATGTGTCTCGTTAAAACTTTACTAGGAAAAATTCAGTGGAAAAAAGCCTAGTGAAGGAAAAAGAGTACACACATCTCATAATACGTCTTGAGTGTTGCCTCATTAAAAACCTTATCAGGAAAACCCAATTGGAACAAAATCATGATTAAGGAAAAGAGTACAATATTTCACTCCCCCTGATGAAAGCTTTACTTGATATCTTGGAGACAATGCATTTCAATCTCATATCTCAACTTCTCAAATGTTGATATTAGCAACGCCTTAATAAGTAAGTCTGCAAGATCGTCATTGAATGGATTTGTTGAACTTATATCTCGCCATTTTGTTAAAGATCACATGTGAAGAAGAATTTTGGTGAAATGTACTTTGGCCAGTCTCTTTTGATGTATCCTTCCTTCAATCGAGCTTCATTATCTTCATACATGGTGGTTGGAATATCTCTTTTCAAAGAAAAATCATATGCATAATCAATAATCTATATGTGCATGATATTTTTCAATCATTTTTATGAGATCAAAATTGATCTTTCCTTACATTAAACAATCTCACAACCATTGGGGTACTCAATGGAATTGCTTAATTAAGACCTTTTAAATCCTTTAGAATTTTCATACAACCTTCATCGTCTAGATAGACATGACAATCATTCATTACACATATTCAAGTATTTCATCTATTGCCAAACTGAAACAAGCCTCATTGCATCCACTACAAGAGAATATATCTCCATTTAATAATGCCAGGCCTTTTGCGAAAAACCCTTTATGCCCCAAGGCACACACCATATTTTATATCTTACGGTTATACTTTCGCACGATAATTTTTTTTACCCCACTGACATTATATCTTGATCCATGGACTATAAGTCCAAAACATCACTTTTCAAAGTGAAACATAATGTACTTGAATTGTGCATTTCATTTGGCCAATCATTTATCTGTCTACACTATATGACAAATTTAAATTCAAGATCCTCGCCATCATCTATAGCATTGAGCGCTACTTCATATCAAAGATATCATCGATGGTCTTTTGACTCGATTCCAATACGACATAACTTATCAAGATCTCTTCATATTTCATCATTTCAGGTACCTGAACCTTTGTCAAGGTTTTATGAAGTGTTATATCATCGTGCTACTTTTAAAGCACTTGTCTCATTACCGTGACCATCTTGATCATTTGCTCCCCTCTTTCCTTAAACAATCTTTCATTTGGAATTGATTGGTCTATCACGCTTCAGGCGTACCATAGACTCTTCCCTTCAAGGACTTCTCATTGGAGCATTTACAGCTAAATTACAACACAATGTCAGCAAATTCATCTGGCAATTAATTTGTAATATTATGCAAATGAATTATCTGTTGAACAATAATTTATATCACAAGTTTCAGTTGTCAATCATCTCTCTCCCTAATGTTAGAAAATCTTACATTCACCTCAACCTCATTTGGGGATCCATTTGTGCATGGTGGAACAATAAAATCAGATACCGCACATTCTGATGGAAATTATTTGGCTCCTGACCCTGAACCAATTATGATTGGGAAACCTTGTTGGTTTGATGCATTTGTTCTCATACTCATGATTTAGCTATAATTGGAGGCATACAATTTATGTTAAACCAATCGACATTATCAACATAATTTCATAGTTTGGGATTGTGCTCTTAATTTAACAATTCGAGCAAACAACCTTACAAAAATCAATTTGTAAGCCGACAACAAAGCACATGTGACCATCCCATAAATACAACTATCATATAGTTGCCAACGGTCCACATGATAGGTGAACGGGCCCATATTCACCTTTTTATATGTTCCAAAAAACTCAGGGAATACAATCACAACCTAACTAGTATAATGATACAATGATCATTTTATCACGAGAACAAGCAACACAAGAGAATTCTTGAAGAATTTTTTATTTCTTCATCATATAAGCCACATGAATTCTCAATTACTTTTGCATCACATTTAAATCGAAATGGACAATCGGTCATGCCAACTGATCTTTATTTTTCTAAAACCTCTCGTAGAGGTGAGTTGTGACATATTTCATTTTTCTCAAGCCTCCCATAGAGGTGAGTTGTGGCATATATCCAATCCATAATGATTTTATCACATCTTGACTCATTCTCTTTCAGAATGATCGACATTCATGATGCTATCACAAGTCACATTCTCTTCAAGAAATGGACTAATCATTTATATGGGCTTCATAATTTTTTATTATAAGCACATTGTCATGCTTTTGAAATTCATCATTTTTGCATGACCCACCTCAACATCACTTTGAAAGGTCAAGTGTACCACCACTTTATCTTCCTTTCTTTTGATCGAGAATTTTTATAAATTTATCAAATTATTTGGTCATACAATGACCACAAGTCCAATGAACTTTCATACCATTATGATGATAAAAATTACCTTCATATTTTGAAGGACTATTTGGAGAACCCATAGTATTCTTCCTATTATAATTACCACAATGATATCATCCTGTCCATCAACGCTCTTATTCATACATTCAATCACTAGTCATCTTTCAGACTTATAATTCACTGCTACCACATTCATATGATAGAATGGAGTAATTGGACGGATTTCAAACTTATCATGTACTACTACCACATTCGCTTTAGGTTATGGGGCAAATTCAATGAGACGAATTTCATGGCTTTTCATCAAAGTCTTAGTCATCATTATATCATCAATATGGTGCACTGAGACTCAAACTCAATGTCTTAACCATATAAGACGCATTAGGCCATAATTTTATGGGACTCGAACCCAATTCTTTTCATCAAGGGGCATCAAAATTCAAATTGATGTCTTACCCTCTTGATGCGATAGAACAAAAATCTTTTGTTTTACCCTCAAACATTTTTCATTATGGTGCATCCAGACTTTAACCCGATGTCTTACCCTTTTAGTGCGATGGGACTTGAATCCACCGTCTTACCTCAACCAATGATATAATAGACCAAAGAACAACATGACTCACTCTTTGAGTCTGTCAAAACATTGATATAAAATTCATAAAATATAAGATTCAAACTCATGCTACCAAAACTTTATACCTTCTTCTATTTAAGGAACTTTGTGGAGCAAAAAATGTTCAATCAATTGTAGTATATGCCTTTGGTTCTTAAGGGTTTTCTCCTTGTTGAAACTTTTTTTTGGTTCAATTATTTTATATCTAGCTTTAATCAATGGATTTTGACCATAAAATCAGAAATACGATTCACTTTTTTCAATAGCACAACAATGTCAGACCAAAAAATATCAACAATAGACACAACAAATTTGAATTATATGGAATGCTAAACATCAGAATGAAGAATTGCAACCTACTCTTGTCTCCCCTTTTTACTTTCAAATCCAGAAGCATATATAATACAACACATGATTCAAGATAACACACAAGATAATTATTGATTGTTACGGAGTTCTCAAAAGAAGCAATTCAAATGCACATTTGAGATGTACCCATACCACCTGCCTCCGACAAGAATCAGCAAACATCCCCACATTATCAAGTCAAATCTCCCATTCACACAAGGACAAAAACAAGTTAATTCCTCTTTTTCCATTTCCACATCAAAATTCAAAACGAACACTATTGTATTCTAAATCATAAAAAGATTTTAGGAAATACATACCTGATTTTATGCATATAATACTGTTGTTGCAGTAGTTATCATTTTTCCTTCTTGATTCTCATAACGAGATCAACTAGAACATGAGCTAAAGAAAAACTAAAACTCAATCTCAATTGGTTAGAGTCTTGTGCTGATAACGTGCAGAATGTAGAGATCATCTTATTAAATGTCTTCAAGTCTCTCATTTTTGTGTCTTTACAATGGTGAAAGAACAATCCTATTTATAGGTTGAGAAATCACTCCAAAAGTCACCATTTTAAGTGTCATAATAAATAGATACATTCTTATCCACAAAGGTTTATAGAACCTAGGGAATATGAATAGTTGTTCATGTATTAACTTAATGGACAATCTACTCATTCAATGAATTTATAACAAAATGAAGGAATTTTAATAACTTATATTTTTATATTGTTGATGACAATGATTTTTTTTTTTTTGAATCATACTGAATATATTTATAAATATAAAATAAACATATACATTTTGCCTTGAGTCTAAGATGATTAAAGCGGCTATCAGTGTCGGCTCTTGCGTGAAACAAGTTCAGGCAAAGGCCTTTAGCTCCCAATTATTTAGGGGCCATGTTTCATTTTAATAATAAATTTATGAGTAAATTATTATTTTATTTTTTAAAAAAAGAGTACTTTAACCTAAAAAGTATATTTATTTTCAACATAAAGAAAATAAATTTAAACAATTCAAAGTATATGAAAATTATTTTAAATATATTTTAGTGGTAAAATATATTCATATCAATGAGTCTATTTGAATATTTGTATTTGAATTGTATCTGAAAATATCTTTGAGTTGAAGTTATAGTGATGGTTGGGTGATTTTTCTAGTACTAGACTACTGGTACAAGGATATATTGAGTAAATTTTAGGTTTAACAAACATAAAAATCATATTTATATGTTATAGCTATAGTTTGTATAATTGCACTTCATAACAAACTTTATGTTTGCTATGACTATTAATTAGTATATTTCGGTATACAAACTAAAATATAGTAATTGTATATAAACAAAATTCCTACATATATACAACACATATGTATACCGAATGAGTCTATTTGTATATTTCGGTATACAAATGGATCCTGCAATTAATTTTTATACAACATATATGTATATCGAATGGGTCTATTTGTATATTTCGGTATACAAATGAGTCCTGCAATTATTTTTTATACAACACATATGCATACTGAATGAGTCTATTTGTATATTTCGGTATACAAATGGGATGACAAAAAACATGGAATGTTTGCTGCGAATTAAAAATAAAAGAAACTATGGCTATAACATTTAATTTGAATTAATAGTTTACTAGTTCATACAATTTTTCCTATATTATATTATATCAAATATAAGTGAGCATCCAAATTGAGTGAATAAATACCATGTATCCAATTAAATTAAGCAAACAAATATAACAAAAAATATTTCTAGGTTTGATAATTAGCCAAACTAATGCTCTTTGATAATCAATTAAATACCAAGGACCCCACAACAAATATAATAAAATTATTTCTAGGTTTGATAATTAGCCAAACTAATGCTATATTTGATAATCAATTAAATACCCAAGGACTCCGCTTTTTGTTGGAAAAATAATTGGAGTATCTCAAAAATATAATAATCATCTTTAAAAATTCTTTAATTTATTCAGCCTATTGGGCATTGATATACTTCCTTAAATAACATTGTTTGATCAATTTTCCTTTTCCATATTGCTAACAGTAACTTTTAATTTGGACATTATTCTTCATGATTAGCAATTACTCTCCTTTATTCCCATTATTAATTTCCTTAAATTCCAATCCTTTAGCCGTTGGAGCTATCAACCACTCTTATGGTGTGAATTCTTTTCTTATATATATTCACCATGATTTTTCCTATGGAAGAAATAGACGAGAACAAAGTCTTCCTTGGATGCAGAAAATAGTTCCTTCCTATTGTTTGAGTTGCTGAGTTTTCTATCAATCTAATATTCTTTGTTAGATTCTGGCTCCTAGTTTTAGTACTAGAAAAGCTTATTGAATTCTGGGGATGCACCTTAACCGGTGAAATATCCTTAAGGACAGTGCCATAGGCACTCCTCAAGCTACGAGATTTCCAATAGTTTTCCAACACTTTTTACAATAACTCTTTCTTTTTTGGTATTGGTACTCGATGACCCAAAACTCTTCTTTTTTGGTATTGGTACTCGATGACCCAAATCGATATTCCACTTAAAAAAAGGTATAAAGTACAAAAATCTCAACAATTTTGGCGCTAGTTATAACGACACATAAGTTTTGTATTGGATATACAAGTTATTTATCAAATATATAACCATAAATCAAATTCATATTAACAATAACATATGTATTAGATACATTGTACACAAACAAAATTATAATGTATTTGATAGAGATAGAGTAATATATCTCGATGTTAAGAGAAAGAAAAAGGAGGATTTTGGTAACTAATTTAAATGATAGAAGTATTTAGAGATTAAATTATCTTAAATCGTGTAATTACGTGAAGATTGCCTGAAGCAGTAGACCCTTTCCCTTGTATATTCTCTCTTACTCCTCTCCTTTGCTATTGGAATGGAAGCATCTCAGCCAAATTGCGAATTATATTAGTAATAATCATATATATATATATATATATATATATATATATATATATATATATATATATAGAAGAGAATCTTAGGCCCGCCTACGTGGCGCCACCACAAATCAGAATTCACTTTTAATTTATTTATTTACAATATTAGCCTTCCCCTTTCATGAAAAATTGTGACATTTACAAAAGTTGTGACTTTTATGAAAAGTTGTGACTTTAATGAAGAGTTGCGATTTTTATGAAAAGTTGTGAATTTTGTGAAAAAATTGCGACTTTTATGAAAAGATGTGATTTTAATGAAGAGTTGCGACTTTTATGAAAAGTTGTGACTTTTATGAAATGTTGTGACCTTTCTGAAGGGTTGCAACTTTTCCAAATAGTTATAACATTTCCGATAAGGCACAATAAATATTTGTTCACACTACCATTTGTTCTCTATAAATAGAGGGATTTCTTCTCATTTTAAAACAACGAAAATTTTGAACCTCCTCTTCTTCACAATTAAATATTTGTGTACTTTACTCATGTTAAGTGGCTCAGTGACACCATTGCTTATGTTACAAATTCTGATATGTATTTTTACAATTATTAATTTATGCTTATGTTATTAAGAATAAATAATAAGATGTAATAATTTTCATTTTCCTTTACATTATTAATTTTATGTAAGATAATATAGTGTTTTAGTTTTAATAACTGATAAGTTTTAAGTATTATTTTTTATATATTTCGTGATATTATATTCGAGAGGATAATTTTACTAGTAATAATAATAATAATAGATTATACTTGAGATGCAACTTTGGATGTCAAAAATAAAAATACCAAATAAATATAAACTTGAAAAAGCCCACCGACGTATCGTTAACAATAATAAAAAGAGAGCCTACCATTGTATATGATGAATTAGACAATCTAATGTGTATTACTAACTAGTTCAGCGTTACACTAAGACTATTAAACTAAACACAGTTAAAACATATAAATCAAGACTAATAAAAAAGAAGAAAAAGAGAGTTAAGTGTGGAGAAATGGCCAAATCAAACAACGGCCTGCTGTTCGATTCTTGTAGCCAGCCTCAGAGCAGGAAGCTTATAGGAGATCAGCGACATTTGCTGGAAGCTCCTCAATCACCACGTTGTAAAACCTCTGAATGTCAGAAAGCATTCTCTCATCATCCTTGGTTGCAAAATTGATTGCAACACCCTTCCTACCAAACCGTCCACTACGTCCAATACGATGAAGGTAATTTTCAGGTTGAGTGGGGAGATCATAGTTTATGACGAGGGAGACTTGTTGAACATCAATTCCTCTGGCTAAAAGATCAGTGGTGATGAGAACACGAGAGGAACCAGTACGGAATTCACACATTATAATATCCCTAGTGTTCTGGTCCATGTCACCATGGGTAGCTGAGACTGTATGGTCTCTGCTTTGCATCTGGTCTGTTAACAAGTCAACTTTGCGACGAGTATTCACAAAAATCACACTCTGTGTGATGGCTAAGGTTTCATATAGATCGCAAAGGGTCTCAAGCTTCCATTCTTCCTTTTCCACATTCACATAAAACTGTTTGATACCTTCTAAGGTCAGTTCATCCCGTTTCACAAGAATCCTCACAGGTTTATTCATGAACTTCCTTGTGATCTCAAGGGCCTCAGGAGGCATTGTGGCAGAGAAAACACCAACCTGAATCTTAGGAGGCAATAGCTGGAAAATATCATAGATCTGGAGACAAAGAAAAAGTATAACTTTTAGAACCAGGGTAGAAATCATGTAAAACTGTGGACTCTAATTTTTTAGAGAAAATGTGCCACGTAAGCACAGGCAATGAATATGTTCACAGAACCCTAGCACACATACTGGGGATATCCCACACATAATTTACAGCTTCGCAAATTCCTGGGAAGCAGGACTGTGGAATTTAAAACTATGTCACAGCATACTTAATTGTGAAAGAAAAGAAGCTAGCACAAAGAAAATATTGAGTCACTCGAGTATGCTAAGTGCATCATAAATTACAGGTTACGGATTTAGACTTCCATTTTCTTTTAATAAATTACAGGTTGATACTTAAGTATAAAAGACAGATACAGACAGGCATATCTACACAAAACAAAAGTGCTTATGCATTCACAGAAACTATAGGTATATATACAAATATGGAGAGAAGGGCACTGCTAGTTACCTGATCCTTGAACCCTCTGGAGAGCATTTCATCAGCCTCATCCAATACAAACATCTTAATGTGATCAGGGCGGAGAGACTGCCTTCTCAACATGTCAAATACACGTCCAGGTGTTCCCACAACAACATGAACCCCACTTGAAAGGATCCTTTGATCCTCACGGACACTGGTACCTCCCACACAAGCATGAACCTTGACTTTAAGATAGTCTCCAAGTGCTCGCATGACCTTCTCAATTTGTTGTGCAAGCTCACGAGTAGGTGCCAAGACCAAGGCTTGACAATCTAACAGTTCATAGTCCAGTTGTTGCAGAACTCCAGAACAAAAAGTAGCAGTCTTTCCCGTTCCAGACTGAGCCTGCTGAATCACATCAAGACCTTTGCAAAAAGGTACAATTCCCCTTTGTTGGATTGCTGAGGGCTTCTCAAAACCTACAAGGTTATACTTCAATATTAGATAGAGCTTATGAGATTCTTCACCTTAACTTGACACATATGTACACGGCGAGGAACAGAAGGCAAAACACATCTTTTCTTCTTAATAAACTGTGCACAAGTCATGAACCAAAAATGAAAAGCAGAAAAGATTTTTCAACTGACCATATGCATAAATGCCTCTCAGGAGCTTCTCCTTCAATTCCATAGCATCAAAAGTATCATAAGCCTCGTCATATGAGGTAAAAAACTCTTGCCCTTCAGCATTTAGCCTGCATCCACAATTAAAGAAGAATATGATGCATGTATAGCAAAAATTTAGTATTTCCACCATGAGTACAATAAACATTGTAACTCACAGGTATGCCTATGTGTAGATAGAGAAACTCATGAAGAATACCAAAACATTGAAAATGAGAAAGCAACAACATAACTGAGGCAGTAGTACTCACAACTCTGTCATTTTTGAATCAAATTGACGAGCATCAAATTGGGATCCATCAGGAGCTGCACCCGCCATGACTAGAAAGACTTCACATCACATTAGGACAAAGAAAGGGTTAGTGTGAACTTACATATTGTCGAAACATCTAAATTTCATAACACCGCCAGTCTTCAACCGAAAAAAAACAAACCAAGGTAAACTAAAACATGTAGGTCTCGGAGAATATCAAAAGAATGACATAGCTCATTACTATACCTATTCAGAACTAGAAATTCCATTTAGAAAAAAAAAACTACCTCTTAGGGAACTACATTATGTTCTCTTGTAGTTTTAAACACACCATGTGTCCAGCCAGGAATAAAACTCAACATTAAAAAGATAATTACCACTCTCAAAAAACAAAACCCAACATTAACAAATAACAACAAAACAATACAAAAAATATCTATCTTAATCTTGTACTGGCAAGCAAATCAACCTCAAGATTTTTTGATGCAAAAAATGTCTTGCACAAAAATCAAAATCAACCCTCACACCATCCTTAACTAGATTATCTAGAACCCTAGAAGGAATAATCATCAAGCACTTGTGTTTTAAGATTTGCCAGTTCCACCATAACAAGTTCAATTTACTTTTAGCACTTACAAAACAATGTTAGGTAAAATATTACATAGAGATAATGTTCCATTATACGACTCAAGTAAGAAATTCACTAGACATATTACTATTACTCAGTTCCATAAGATTAACAAAATCAATACATAAATTATAGTAGCCTTCTGTTTTGAATAGCCCCACTTATTTTAAGAGAATGTAACCACCTCTCTGCTCAACAACCAACAAAGACCAGGGAATCCTCTACCTACTTGACAAACCATCAACTTTCAAAACTCAATCACAACCCCAAAACAGTTTATAAGAGATGCATCTACGTCAAACTAAACAATACTACACAAAAAACAGAGCATTCAATAACTTCCTATACGCCAAACTAAAAAAGAACAAAAGAAAAACAGAGCATTCAATAATTAAAAAAAAAACAGCATTGTGTATCTTTTCGCCATTGAAGTTTGAAAAAGAAAAGGAATTCCAAGGAAGTTACCTGAAGAAGAGATGAGAAAGAGGAGTTGTTGTTGTGTATGAGTACAGAGAAGTTAGGGTTTTCCCAAGCTTCTCGGATCAGAGTTCAAAAGAGAAAAAATATAGTTCAATTGTGTGAGTTTGGGTTTTTCAACAACAATTTATACAATTTTTTTACGCCTCAATTACACGTGGCGTGCTTTGCGGGCTTCCTACACACGAAGATTTAAGTTGTCCTAAACGAAAACAAAAACGTTTTACGTAAAAATAAAATTTCACAAAATAATAAACCAAAAATAGGCCAAATTTGCCATAATCCCTATATGTACAATCAGAGGTGTTCTACAAAATCTATACATGTTAAAATAATAATTCAAAATTATAATAGGAATCCTAAGTTGTTTCAAATTTGTTTTTAATATTATTTAGTTATTGTCCTGTTAGGATTTGTCTATCCTAGTTTAATTTATTTTTTAATATTATAAATAGAAATATTGCTAGTTATTTTTCTATATACAAAAAAGAAAGATCTATACAAAAAACTAAAATCTATAGAGAAATAGAGAGAACTTGAAGTAAGATTCAAGAATTTATGAGATTATAAATAAAATATTTGCCTTCAATGTACCAAATTAGCAAATTGAAAAAAAATTGATTAAATATTTAATTTGATATAAGAAAAAAATAATTATAATTGATTTGATTTCAATTAAAGAGAAACCAAACCACGAACTTTAGATGTATATAATTTTTAAAAATATATATACTTAAAGAACATTTATATTGATATAATTTGTAAGTATGAAATTTTTTCATACTTTTTTATTCTTACCATTTTTTTTTTCATGCTTTGAATTTATAAATTTGTATGGTCCAATAAGTATATTATAAAATTATAGCTCATAACTCTATAGCAACCTGACAATCTGTTTTTGTTTATAATTTTTTTAAAAATTTTAATATACACTTTATTGTGGCAAGAATTTCTTTTGCCATAGTAGCATAATTTTTGTGGCTATTATTTTATTTTTCAAAATAAAACTAGATAATATAATCATGTTTATCTTCTGAAGAATATTGTGTTAATGTCTTTACAATTTTCTTCCAATTTGAAATGGTCAAAATAATACATGAAATATTCTTAATTTTACTTTAATATTCTTGATTCATTGAGTATGACTAACAGTCCAATATGTTGGATTTTGATGTAATACTAACACTACAAAATATGACATCTTTATATACATGTGCTAAATATATAATCATCGCAAAAACACATATGTATATCATTATACATGTATCATTGGATTCTTTTATCTACAATATTGTTTATAAGCACATTTGAATTCATTATTTTCAATGAGTAAAAGTTGTAGTCATTAGCTTGCAAATAACTTTTTTATCAATCCCAAAACCATCACATGGAGAAGTTTAGAATGAATACCGCAAAAGACAAGTGATATCAATGATTAAAATATGGAAAATGGATGTCAAACTAGAAGAAGCATTGAAACTCCCACGCACATTATTATTTTTTCAACAATGAAGAAGAAAAACTAATAATATTTTACCAATTGCAACACATACTACTAAAAAAAGTACAGTGTGCAAAACTAATAAGAATTCCAAAGGTTTATTTAGATTATCAACCAAAAAAGATTATCCAATTGTAAAAAGTGAGGTATATAAGTTTTGCATTTGATAAAAAATCTCTACGTTGATTGAAATATCAATTTTTCGTCATGCCTCCCAAAAAAGAGGACATCAACATCCCTCTTTCTTTTTAGCCTTGAATTGGCAAAAACAAGAGAAAAGACAAGACATTGCACATATACTATACCTTCTACTATATAATAAAATAATAGAATATATATTTTTTCTTACTGAATAAGAGCCTAAATAAATACCAATTCATTTCATCAATAGAGCTACGTTTTCTCTACTGTTAAATACATCCAAAAATCTCCTTTCCCCATTGATAAGAATAGTGAAATGACTTTTATGCTTATGAACAATGTGATCAATCATTCATGATCCTTTTCCAACTCTTCCATCACCCCTACTTCTTCCTGTTCCTGCATCAATCACCATTAATTCATAGTTCTTGCAATAATCATCATTAATCCATTCTTAGTATTTTCTCTTATGTTGTAGCAATACTACTTTTGTTTACTGTCGAAACAATGTTGTGTGTAATTTTATAATTCTTATTAACTCTAAGAGTAGTGTAAAAGGCACCTTAGGTCCTAAGAACAAGCCAAATAGGACATCATTGAACTTCTCTGAATGATGAAGCTGCAAATTCAGATATCAAACAAATGCATAAGAATATCTTGCCATCCACTAATATTAATCGTATTATTAACAGTCAGGTATTTAAGAGCAAACAAATCTCTATTTTTAAAGTATCTTATTTATTTGTTACAACTATTTAACAAGTGTATGTAAGTCAAAAATTAGATGGAAAGTCTAAAATCAATGTTAGAAGAACATAATCTCGAACAATCGAATAACCAGTAATACATCGAGCTAAAAAACACAAATTGTACAGAAGAATACAAAACAATCGTCTGAATAAAAATTATTATGAACAACAACATTATACAAACAGAGAATAAAAAAGCCAGAATTTATAATCTATTTTGTAGGTTAGCAAGTATTTAGAAAAAATGAAAAAGATGAAAATAGAAAAATTTACTGAAAACTTACCTGAACAAGCTCAAGTTTCAGCTGAAGATGAAGTGTTTGTGAGAAAAAATGTGAAACCTAAAGTTTATTTTAAACATGAGTAGTGTGTTTGATTTTCGGCCACATAAATTGTGAACAAGTACAGAAATATCTATAATAAAATATAAAAATTAATTATTATTACGTAAAAGGACATATACCCTCAAAGATCTTTCCATATACTATTATTACTTCTGCAAACTGAAAGGATCCTTCTTTCTAGGAAATGAAAAGGATTGCTTCTTTCTAGAAATTACCATAATTATAATTAAAACACAATCACTATTTTACCCCTATAAGAAATTAAATATTTCAAAAAGTAAAATGCTTTCAAAAGTGACAATTATCTGTAACCTAAGATCCGAGAAAATAAAATGCTAAAGAAAGACATCTTGAATGAGGACCCTTCTATTCACTTGAAAACCTTCCCTTGTAGACTGTAGCTATATGTTCATTTGTGTTAGACATAAAAAAGTCCAAAGGTCTATTCGATAAATAAGTCCACATATTGAAATAAAAAAATTATGCCAATGGTGTCCCGGGCAGCTTTCCAAGCATTCCTGATATAGCAATATGTTATCCTCTCTCATTAAAATCTTCATCATAAAAGTATTAGTTTGCTTGAATGCAAAAAACAGAGGGACCAGTGCCACTTTAATTTGATAGTCAAAAAGAATTCTAAATCATATTTCCACCTTATAATTAGCCCTATAAATCCAATCAACATCAACATTCAAACAAAGCCAATGGAACAAGCTTCCATGTTTGATTCCTTCGAAAAGACTCAATCTCTTCACTTAAATATGTTCAAGAAATGCATGCAACACTCTCGGACAGAGATGTTGTTGGAACACCCAGATAACATGATAAGAAATAAAAAGCGTGAAGAAAAATAAAAATATGAAAAAATATCGATTAAGAATAAAGAAAGAAAGATTATGATAAATTTGAGAGAAAACATAAACCTAAAATTGTAAGCATCGCGACTCCCAGTTGTAAGAGTTGCTTGTAGAAGTGTTTTTGCGTCTCTTTTTGTCAGGGATGAGAGAGATAATGGATGCTTTTAGAGTTCTGAAAAGACAATTACTCATACTACTTTGCTTATAACGTTGCTCTTACTTTTGGCTATATTTACAATTATGCCCTTGGTCGTCCTAGTTATGGCATTTCTATATAGTAGAAGTGTGTGTATATATATATATATATATATATATATATATATATAATAGAGGAAAAAATATCATATGTCAACGCCACAGTTTTTCTCAAAATTTCAGATTTTAGATTATGACTAATTAAATGGAAGAAATTTAAGAGCAAAATAACAAAATGGTGTGTATCTTAATACTTGCAACGAAAATTATTGATGTTGATTTCGCTATCAAAATAAATTGCTCCAAATATCTCTTTGAATAACTAAGAGGTCGTTTGGTAGAGTGTATTGTGAAAAATAATGCATTAGCATTGTGTATTACTAATATCTTGTTTGATACTCTTTTCTAATCTATGTATAATTAATGATTGCATTAGCTATACACTCTATTTTGTGTTAAGGCGTGTATTGTTAATACCATGGAAAATTAGGTATCATCAATGCAATGGTTTTAATACATGCATTAGCATGATTAAAGACTCAATGCCCCTCAAAACCTTCTTTTTCATTTTTTCCACCATAATTGTCACGCCCCAAGGCTACCTCCAGGACGTAAACACGGGACCTAGGATCACGAGTGATCCCAAGCTAACCCTATTGGATGTACTAGGATCACGAGTGACCCCAATCTAACCCTGTTGGCACATCATAAGCATACTAGATAAACTGAAGTAAGGAAATACTGTGCGGACGCTTAAAACATCATGTAAACTGAAAATGATGGGGAATACCCATTCTAAGTCTGAATATATAATATGAGAGTTTAACGACAAATGAAAATATCAAACTCCATGCTAAAACTGAATCTAACTATGTCTTAAATAAAGTCTTTAATTGACTAGAAATGTTGGGACATGCCCCAGCTAAATCTAGCAAAAACTGAAACTAAAGACTAAAAGTAGAAAGGAAACATGTCTGTCGTCCTTGGAGAATGAAGACTCACCACTGATGCTGTTGAGCTGAAGATCGGGAGCCGATCTATGCGTGATTTGGAAGTTGGGGACCTGTACCTACATCACGAGAATATGTAGCGCATAGTATACATCAGTACTTGAAAGGTACTGAGCATACATGATAAAGTAAAGCTGAATGGACATATATAATTGAACAAAGCTTATAACTGAGCGATGATATAAGATGAGCATGATACTATACTGAAAATACTGAACATGATCTAACTGAATGCAATGACCAAATTTATAACATGTTGATACTGAAATTTGACTATAACTGATA